ATACCTTTGCACTTTTGCCTGTATCTGTCTATATATTTAAGCATACTGTTCACAGTGTGAGTTTAGAGTTTCTCCCTGGAATAAAATGGGTCTGAATTTTTCTGTAGCCTGCCTCTGAGACCACAGCCTCCCATTAAGTCAACATCTCTTGAGTGCCACAGCCACACTGCCTGCCTGGAAGTTCAGACTTGCCCTCGTGCTGGGCATGATTTTTGTATTCATTTCTGTAGCTGCCTCTGAGCATGTAATCTCTTTGTGTAGCTGATACCCACAGTGCATCTACTGTGTGCAGCGTCCAGAGGCAGGCTGGTATGTCCTTGCCTTCTTGGAACCAGGTGCCTTTTTGCTAGAGTGCTCATCTTGGGTGATACTCTCGCCTGGTCTGGCCTGATTAGTTTTCAGTTGTTGTTTGCCTCTTCCATTAATGGAACTCCAGGAAGGAAGGGCTATGTTAGCTCTTGTCTATGGCTACATCCTTTGCATCAACACTTGCAGAACTTGGTGGAGCGAAGAGTGGATGTTTGAGTGAGGACACACGGAGGGATCTTGATTCATACAGACCAAATTTGCTGAAGGAAGGTGTTGGTCGTAAATTTATTGTACAGGTACTTCGTCTGGCAGCAACAGAGTGAACTAGTGAATAGGCCAGTGTGAGTATGTCAGGCCGGGGCTTGCTGCAAAGATAAGGGGTGTTTAGAGCCCTAAGAAGGGGAGCTGGGAAAGTCCTGGGGCAGGACGGAGAGCATCCTGGAGGAGGAGGAGGGGGAGGAGGCGTGTGCACTTGCAGGCTGTGTCTGTCCTGGAGAATGGGCATGGGGCAATGAGAAGTGTAGCTTGTGTTCCTGCTGGCTTGAGTGGAGAACCTGTGGCTAATAGGCTGATAGCAAATGCTATCTTGATTGGCTCCTGGTCTCCAAAGATGCAGTTGGAAGCAGAGTTTAGGAAACAAGGTCTAGGATTGAGAAATGAAGTGGGTAACGGTTTCCCCAGCTGCTCGAATCTGCTTAGGGATCCTTCAGCAAGACTCAAGTCTTATGTGGTCTCTGAGCCTCTCTGTAGTCTCCGGGGGTTTCATCCCTCCCCTCTCTATTCCTCTCCTGCCCATCCTGTACTTGTGGTTCAAACACAGCTTCCCCTCGGAAACTCTCCCCAAGTCCCCCGACAGGGCTGGGGCGTTCCCTCTAGCTTTCCGTGGTTACACGTGCATGTTTCTGTGCATTGTTTTATAGTTACCGCCAGTCAGTTTGCAATCGCGTGTTGATTTGATTACTTCCCTGCAGTGGGCTGTCCTATCTGGATCACACCCCTCACCACTGCACCCTCTCTTCTTGTTTGCTTTTTAAAAATTCAGTTTTGGCAGCTGGAGTGATGGCTCAGTGGCTAGGAGTACATACTGCTCTTGTAGAGGACCCAGGTTCCCAGCTCCCATATCCAGTGGCTCACAACTACCTGTAACTGCAGCTCCGGGGGATCCAAGGTCTCTGGCCTCTGTGGGCACCCACATTTGTGAATACATAATCCCCCTCCCCCCCACACACAACATATATACGTACACATAGTTAAAAATAAAATCATCTTAAGTTTTTAATATTACCTGATACAGAGTAACTTTTAAATATTTATTAAATTGAATGTATAATTATGTGTTTAGGAGTTTCCTAAGTCTTTTTCCTATTGTTCGTTATGTTTTTGTTTTTTTCTTCACAGAGGATCTTTTGACAGGCTGGCACGGAACTCTCGATCCTCCTGCCTCTGCCTTCTGAATTTTAGGGTTATAGGCATGTGCCACCACACCCAGCAATCCCGTGACTTCTTAAGGAATTGTCACTTAATTCTTTCCCCACTCAAGTAAGCATGTCGATGGAGGTGCTTGCTGGGGACAAGCTGGTAGCATCTGGGTCATCGAGACAGCCTGAGTTCCCTTGAGTGCAGCCCATGGGGACCAATCCTGACCTAGAGAAAGTCACAGCTGGACGAGGCTGGTCCTTTTCCCAAAAGACTCTGCAGAAGTGAATGCATGTCCCAGCTAGGCTGTTGGACTTACAGTATACACAGTGTTGTATTGGAGTCCAAGGACTCATTGTAATTTTAGTTGGCTCTGTGCCCTGAGCCCTCACTCTGTGCTGGGCCCTACTTGGTGACCAATGACCTTGTCCACAGGGATCCAGAGTCAAGCCACCCTCTCTGGGCTTCCTCAGGAGATGAAGCCCTTGCAGGGCTCTCAGCTGAGAGGGTCTGGTTGGCTGGGAATCCTCCAGGCAAGGCAGAGTTGGATCTTCTCAGGAAACAACCAGGAGAGAAAGAGTGAGACCTCAGTGGGAGTTGGAAAGCTGGTTTCCTTTGGAGTTTGCTGGCTGCCTGGGAGGCAGCCTGCAGGCCGGAGACTTTAGCTGAAGTAGGGAGGCAGAAAGCAATCTCTTAAAAATTGATGTGATCTACATGGCAGCAAGAAACTTGCTGGGTGCTCTGGAGTGCAAGGTCACTGTGGCAAGAGTGTCTGGGACAGGGTGACTGCACAGAGCAGTTGCTGAGTAGGAGCAAGCTGAGCAGTGTGTGTGTGTGTGTGTGTGTGTGTGTGTGTGTGTGTGTGTGTGTGTGTGTGCACATACGTGTGCATGCACATATGTGCACCTAGGTACATTGGACCATTGATAATAAGGTTCTCTGTTGGGTGCTGGCCAGCACAAGAGCATTACTGGGCAGTAAGCTCCCATATCTGCTATTCTTGGTGACCTTATAGGAATGGTCTCCAAGGGGAGGGGCCATGATGGAAGAGGGAGCACTAGGGATGACATCCTGTAGGCCAGAGCGGGCATCTGGCTTGTGGAAGGCCAGTGTCACTGCCAAAAGAGTGACACAGGTTTTATGCTGGGAACGTTGTTCAGAGGAACCAGTTTCCACTTTAGGCCACACCTATCGGGTCGTGCAGGCTGTGGCCCAGCCTTGCTTTGAAACTGATGAGGGATCTGTTTTCTCAGGCAGCTTGTAAGCCATCCCTAAAAGCCCTTCCTGTAGAACATGTGGGGTGCTCTGGGCCTGTCAGCCCTCTTGGGGATCCTGAACGGCCAGTACTCAGGTGAACCCCCAAGTTGGTTTCTATTCAAATTTCAGGCTCCGCAGACAGAGCGGCTGTAACTCTCTTCTGCCTGAGGCCCAGGGATACAATATCTCACCACTTCAGGTTCCTTGGTTTGGTCTCGTTCCTTACATGGGTGGGAGGTTGTCATGACAATGGGCAGTATGTGCTTCTTGGGGCAGAGGCTGGATGAGGCCTGGGGTATGTGGTGGGGTATGTGGTGCCTCTCAATAGGAGAGCTGACCTTTGGTGGTGCTCTCACAGATTCAACAATACAAGCGGAAGCCCCACCAGGGCCTGATCTCTACAGCCTCTCATCAGCCCGCAGGGACAACTGGTCCTTGAGAACCCTGGGCAATCATGAGCCTTAGAGGCCATGTGCTTGCAGGGACCCTCTGTTCTCACGCTTGCTTTCCTCTTGAACAGGTCAAATCCAAGACCCACAAAAGACAGTTCAACCCCATTTTTCAAATTAATAATTCATTATATTTTTGGAATATAAGCACCACCCCCAGAGACAGACACAGTGGGTAGTTAACACAGCAGAATACTTTCTTAACGTGTACTTCAGGACAGGCAATGCTCTCAAGTCCTGAAACAGAAGGCAGTTGTCTCACACGCACTGCTCATCCCGTGCATGTTATATGCAGCATTTCTATTATACTTTGTGCTAGAAAGTAAGACTTTACACCGTCTACATGTATCCGAAAATTTGTAAGAACGCGTCAAGCCACCTTTTCTTCCCTTTTGTCACCAAACATCATGACCATCCTGCACTTCGCTCATCCTTCACCTAACCCTGGGTCCGGAAGATCTTGGCATCTTGGCAAAGATCTCACTTCCTTTGCACTGCTGCATGGCTTTCCATTGTCCAAGAAATACCGTGGTCTCTTTAGCCAGTTCTCTATGAATGAACTTGGGTGGTTTCCAGCCTCTTGCTCCAAGAACCTTGTGCATCTATGACTTTCCATATACACAAGCCGGCTATAAAGCACACTCCCAGAAATGCAGTCTCTCAGGGACGTTGCCCACGTGATGTTGATAGGTTTTTGTCAAGCCAACTAGCACAGGTGTGTGACTCAAATTGTACGCGCACCTGCCTGTCTCCCCAGAACAGTGTGTCACAGACTGGCCACGATGGTATGACAAATGGGCAGGGTGAGGACATCAGGGAGAGGTACAGAGGGCCGATAACACCCATGACTAAGTCCTTGAATCACTCTGAGCTGAAATCCTCAGGCAAAGAAATTGTTTCACTTCTCTAGGCCTGGAATTTTCATTTGTGATAGGGGAAAATAGTAATATCCCGAGTTAGTTCCTTTCTTTGCTTCTGTAATGAAATTCCTCAGGGCAGGAAAGTTTATAAAGGAGCTCATGACTCTGGAAGTTCAAACCTGTGGTGCTGGCTCAGCCTTGGTGAAGAACTTGTGTGAGTGTGCACACGCTTGTGTAAGAGAGAAGAGAACTTGGAGGAGGAGGAGGAGGAGGAGGAGGAGTGAGCAGGAAGAATAGGCACCACCAGACAGGACACCAGAGAGAAGGGAGGGGCTGATCTGGTGACCTCCTCCAACTCTTAAAGGCCCCATGCCTTTTAAACAACCACTGACTATTAGACTCCCAACACACAGCACCAGGGGCACAAATACAAACCACAGCGCTCATGTTGGGGTCAGTGCGGAAAGTAAAGGACATAACATCTAGCAAATGACCTTTGCGCAGTGTCTGGCATGTGATTGGGAGGGGCTGGCTCTGCAGTTGGCAGCAGGTGGTCTTGTCCTGTAGCTCCTTACCTGAATCCCTGTCATGGGCAGGGAGCAGGGCTGGAGGGTTGGTCAGGCCCCCTTCCCAGTCTCAGGGTCTAGCCTTTCCTCCTTCAGTGGCAGAATAGCCTCCACTTACCCTTTCTCTCTCATGCTCACCAAAGGTATCCAGGAGTCTCCAGTGCCAAACGGCCACTCACTTCCAGGCAGAGACTTCCTCCGGAAGCAGATGCGGGGAGATCTGTTCACACAGCAGCAGCTGGAGGTGCTGGACCGTGTGTTTGAGAGGCAGCACTACTCAGACATCTTCACCACTACGGAGCCCATCAAGCCAGAACAGGTATGCCTGTGACTCCCGCCCACCACGCCTGCAGCCACTGTGCAGGCCTGAGCCGTTCCTGGAAGTGGGGGGCATCTGCACAGTAAGGGTGAGGATCCGTGCAGAGTGGGAATTTTGTTGTTTTGGGCCAAGCTTGGCTGGTCACAACATCCCACCAGGCCAGGAGGATTTGCTCAGGGGGGCTCCGAGGCTTCTTGGCCTGGTGGCTCTGTCTCTGGCCAGCCACAGAGGCATGTGACTCCTCTGGTTGCTCTGCTGCTAGTGAGTGGTATGCTTTCCAAGGGCTTTTTGGATAGGGGTGTATGTGGTGATCTTCTGGGTCACTTCAGGTAGTTTTGCCGTCCTGTCAATTGAGAACGTGATCTAAATAGATAAAATTCACTTTGTGGCGTCAGGCTTACAGCCATGGAGTATGGGATGATATCTCATGACAATTGGCCTATGCTTGGCATTATGGGACTGCTTGCAGGTATGGATAGCCCAGGCATGGGGTCAGCCATCAGAAGGCCCTGCTCTGACAGGTAAGTCAGACACCAGCCTTTCTTTCATGGCTCTCTCAGAGCTGATCCTGTGGAAACTTTTACAGACCATTTAGCCAGTTTGATTTCGGACAGGGAAACTGAGGCCCACAGAGACAAAGCAACTTGCCTAAGGCTGCCCAGCGAGTATTCACTTAGCAAACATTAGCAATTGTCTGGTATGGGTAAGGCATGGAACCAGACACTATGTGCCCATCAGTGAGCAGACAAGCTTGGACTTGTCCCCAAACCTACAGATTTGTAGGAGAATTACAGCTCGGTGCTGGAAAGCTGTCTAAGGCAGAGACTGAGCCAGCTTGGAGGCTGCCATGGTAAACAACAATAAAGGATGTAGGTGAGGAGGAATGTGTCTGGCAGAGTGACTGGCGAGTGCAAAGGCCCTGAGGCGAGAGGGAGATAGCGGGAGTGGAAAGATCCAGTGTGCCCGGGATTCAGGGTCAGGGTGGGAGGTGATGCTGGAGACATGAGTCTGGTCTTACGGACTCTGGGAGGATGTTGCTCATTCTCTTACAAGTTAAATGGTATCTCCCCTGCAAGTGACATGGCCATGGGCACTGGGCAAAGCTGATCCCATTCTAGAGCCTGAGTTTTAGGGATAAGAGTTACTTCTATCGGGCTGGAGAGATGGCTCAGAGGTTAAGAGCACTGCTTGTTCTTCCAAAGGTCCTGAGTTCAATTCCCAGCCACCACATGGTGGCTCACAACAATCTGTAATGAGATCTGGTGCCCTCTTCTGGCACCCTGCAGGGATACGTGCAGACAGAACACTGTATACATAATAAATAAATCTTTAAAAAAAAAAAAAAAGAGTTACTTCTATCACAGACAGCTGCCTTCCACTGCTGAGTCTTTCTGAGAGATGGTAAAAGCCACATTTCATCTGAGCTGTGTGAGATGTAAATAAGTGACCAAGGGTGAGGGTCCAGGGCTCTCTGCCTGGCCTGGTATTCCCATACAAGGTTGCCAGCATCTCCATTAAGGCAGGATGAATGTAACATAGAAACTGAATGTTGTGAGTCCCTCTGTGTTTCACAAGAGTCTTGGAGAAGCCCTGAAGCTGTGTTCCACTTTATCCATTTAAATGTCTGGGAAGATTGGCTCAAGACCAGGTGTTCACTGGGAGGCAGCCCAGGCACCTCCTCACCCACTCAGGAGCTCACTGGTCCAACACGTTTCCTGCGCATGGGCAGCAGGCCCAGGACAGTGCCAGGCTTGGAGGGGACAGAGGCACAGACCAGATATCATCTCTGTTCATTCTTACATAGAATGGTGTGATGTGAACTCAGGAGCCACAGACACATGAGAAAGCTTCACAGATGATGTGGAGTGCTGGGGGGGGGGTGGGCGGGCATTCACTCTGATGTTTGCACCAAGGGCAACAATATTGAGGAGGGAATGTCGCACTGGATCCCAAGGCCAAGGCCATATGGGCTCAGGTGGAGATGAGGCCCAGTAGGGAGGAGGCCTGGGCTGCAGGCTCTGGGAAGCTATGTTTCTGTGGTGTCCTTCAGAACGCTGTGGTCTGGTGCAGGCCTGGCTGTGACTTCTGAGGCCGGTCTAGCAAGGCTAAACGCGGGCAGGCTAATGACTGACTCAGTGTTTTCTGGTTAATCTGGTTCACCTCTCTGTGGCATGCTGTAATGAGGAGAGATGGAAGGTGAGGCTGTAAGGCTGCCCTGCGTGCATGCAGGCACTGGACTATGAATGACATACCCCCCCGTGCCCTGTTCCCAATCACCATGGACAAATGATGGCCTGAGCAAGGCGCTGCTGCTGGGAAAGGCATGTGCATCAAGGGTATGAGTTCCTTGAGTGCCCTCCTGCTGACTGTCTTCTGACTGACTGGCCATGGGCCCTGCCTGTGACCCTTGTGATCCCCCAGCGTGGAGTGGTGGTGACACTAAGAAGTGAGCCCTGAGCTGCTGGCCATGCAGACTGGCCATCTCATCCATTTGCCAGCGAATCAAGTGGCCTGAGTCCCTGTGGCTGAACGGCCTGGCCCAGGGCTTGCTGTTACTTTCATTGAATGATCTAATGGGGGAAATAAAGAGCATCTCCTGCCTGATGAGTTGGGGACCCTGGCTCTAAACCCTGCCTCTGCTCTGTTGAACTCCTCACTTTTTTCTGGACCTCAGTTTCTTTATTTGTGTAATCATGATGGACAATGGCCGTGGCTGCAGTCAGCTCACAGTAAGAGCAGAGGTTACTCACCTATGCGTGATAGCATTCAGCTTTCCAAGGACTTAATGTAGTCCACGCTGGACCTTCCCTGTAAATGTCCTCTAAGCAGCTGGGTCACACCTGTGAGGCCCTGTTTATGGATTTGAGCTTTAAAACAGACTGTGTATACCCATTTTCAGGGCCAGGATTGTTGAGGCACAGAGCTGGAGTCTGACCTCAGGCTCTTCTCTGTCCTCATATTGTACAAGATGGTGTCATGGGTCTTTGTGTTCCTGGAGGCTTCTGGGATCAGTCCTTGGACTGGATAGTGTTCTGCCGGGCCTTCCTCAGACAGTCTGTAGGTCATTCCAGGATGTACATGGACCTGGACAGGTCACCCACTCCATTCCTGGGAAAAATATTGCCAACTGAATGTCAGGGTGGTGCTGAGGTCACTGCTGGGAATGTTTTCTGCTAAGTTCTACTCTGAGTGGGTGGCCAGCTCTGACTCTTTGCCCTTTTCATAGGGAAACTCAGAGTCCCCTTTGCCTTGGTGGAAGAGGTTAACGAGACCCACTCTGGGGCGATGAAACACTTCCTTCTCAAAATGGTTATTGAAAAAGCAATTTTGTTTTCCCTACATGGGGAGTGAGTAAAAATCACCCCAGAGGAACAGAAGGGGGGTGGGGAGGCAAAAAGAAACTGCTGATGTGTGTGTATGTGTGTGTGTGTGTGTGTGCGTGAACGCACATGTGTGTTCAGCAGTGGAATCTGTTTCAGTAAAACTCAAGTTGATGCTGGCTGTCACTGTGGTGGGCTCCGTGTCTGGCAGAATGGGTCCCTCCTCCGGCCACCGAGAGGACGCAGCCGATTGCAGCCTGCTGTATTTACCCTCGGCAGACTATTAACCAACACTAGGCTATTAATCTGGCTTTTGAGCCTTCACTAAAGCCCATAAAAGCTCACAGTTGTCAAATGGAGTTCATTTTAATTTCCTTTCAATCACAGTAAATTATTCAGGTGATAAATCAGCTGGAGCAGCCTCCTGGCTGTAATAGAAACCCTAATTCCTGGCTAATTATCCAGCCCATTGCTGCCAACAGATCAATACGGGCACAAAATGGAACGGGCCCAGGGCCCTCCCTCCCATTGGGCCAGAGACAGAGAGACAGCTGGGGAAGGGGATGTGCTGCTGACCTCCTGGGAAGTTCAAAGGTCATGGGGGGTTAAATCAGGAGATGGCCTGTCCCTTGGCTAACAGAAAGCCACCAGAAGTGCCCCCTGTTCCCCCGGGCAGCTTTGTCCACTGCATGGTGGCTCTTCTGTCGGCCAGCAGGTGGACTGGCTTCTAAGTTTGCCTTATCCCATGAGCATCCTCCCCCTGGGCAGGGGCTGGTCTGTTGGCATCACCCGACAAGATTGATCTGGGTCTTCAGGGACAGACTCAGAAGCTACCAGGAGCCAGATAAAGGTCTGGGCTCTCTGGGGGACCCGAGGCCCTGGCTTCAGGGGGCTCATTTTCCCCCTGGTGGATGTGTGTTCTGTCTTGAGGAAGTGGAGGAGGGGGAGGGGGGAGAGGGAGACAGGCATGCCAGGCCAGAAGTGCAGAAAGGTGCCTGGAGGAGGTGCCCTTGGGGATGTCTGGAGAGCTGGGCAGATCTGGGCCCATGGAGATGGTAGTGTTGGCTGGAAGGATGTTCTGGACATCTGGAACAGCATGAGTCAAGGTCTGGAGGAATGCCGGCATGGAGCTGGAATGCTATCTGAGTGACAGAAAGTCGGGGACTCAAATCCCAAAAGGATGGAATATGGAAGTGAGGACATTTGAGGTTGCTTTGGCATCAGAAAGTCTCAAAGAATCTGGGTGCCGTGGCCTGGACCATGCTGTGGGACTTCTTTCTTCTCGCTCTGCCCCTGCTGTGGTCATTGGAACTTCCTTCCCGCAGCCCATCCCTCCACAAGAACTGCTTGTGGCTTTCTCCCTGTTCTGTCTTTCACAGGACCTTTCACTGTCCCGTGTCCCTTTGCTTGCCCATAGGAAGCTCTTGCCCTGGCTAGGCCTCACCCTACTGCCCTACAAGAGCTGGGCTGCTTCTGTGTCAAGAGGGTTGCTAACCATGTCTCTCAGGCTGGCATGTGCACATGTATGAGTATGTGTGTGGACACCAGGAGCAGCTTGGCAAGTGCTTGACGGCAGATACCCTAATCACAACTACTTTCTTATGTTGTTTACACTCTCAACTGCTGATCACTGGCTCCCTGCAGGGAGCATCACCCTATAACTGCACATATATCTCCTTT